TCTGAAACATTTAGGGAGGGAAAGCCTGGATGAAAAGGTGAGTTTTAGATGGTTTTTAAAGACCTCTACAGTGTTAGAGAGACGGAGATTTGAAGGTAGACTGTTCCAAAGTCTGGGGGCAATAGTCTGAAAGGCCCTGTCCCCTTTGGTTCGAGGAACAGCCAGGAGGTTTTCAGATGTGGATCTAAGGTTCCTTGAGGTGGTGTGTGGGGATAAAAGCTCAGATAGGTAGCTTGGAGCCTGGTTGTTAAGAGCTCTATAGGTCAGGACTAAAACTTTAAAGTGAATTCTATGTTCTACCGGGAGCCAGTGGAGGGACTGTAAAACTGGGGTGATGTGAGCTCGTCTGCTGGATTTGGTTAGGAGTCTGGCTGCTGCATTTTGGATGGCTTGAAGGCGTGCAGGGAGGTTTTGCTGAGACCAGTAAAAAGAGCGTTACAGTAGTCTAAACGTGATGACACAAAGGCATGGATTATTTTTTCCAGATCTGCAGTAGAAACCAGTTTACGGACTTTTGAAATGTTTCTCAGTTGAACGAAACAAGAGCGGGAGATGGTTTTGAAGTGTGAGTCTAAACTTAAAGCTGGATCAAAAATAACTCCTAGGTTTCTAATGTTGGCCTTGGCTGATGGGCAAAAAGAGACAATTTCTTGCTCGATTTTTGGCTGAAGTTCTGGGGGTGCAGCGATCAGGGTCTCTGTCTTGTTAGTATTGAGGACAAGAAAGTTGCTGGACAGCCAGTTACTGATCTGGGTCAGGCAGAGTACAAGTGTGGCCAGCCTGTCCAACTGGTGTGGCATAAAGGACATATAGAGCTGAATATCATCAGCGTAGATATGGTAGGAGATGTCTGGGAAAGACTGAATGATGCCAGCTAGGGGAAGAATATAGAATGCGAATAGTAGAGGCCCTAGAACTGAACCTTGTGGGACCCCGCATGTTAGAGAGGCAGTGTCTGAAGAGAAGGTTTCTGACTTCACTGTGAATGTTCTGTTAGTGAGATAGGAAGAGAGCCAGTCTAGAGCAGAACCTGAAATCCCAGCCAGGGCCTTTAACCTGTTTATTAGAACGTTGTGGTCTACAGTGTCAAAAGCTGCACTGAGGTCAAGCAGGACCATGACAGAGCATTTCCCTGCATCAGCAGCCATCAGGAGGTCATTATGCACCCTTACTAGAGCAGTCTCAGTTGAGTGCTGCTTCAGAAAGCCAGATTGGAAGGGGTCAGAGATCTTTGACTTAGAAAACCAGGATCTGAGTTGGGTTTCAACAACCTTCTCAAGTACTTTGCTGATGAAAGGTAGCTTAGAAATGGGCCTAAAGTTACTGGTGGAGCTGGTGTCAAGGTTGGGTTTCTTTAAGAGAGGAGTCACTAGGCTCAGTGAGCTGTTGATTATAGTCAACAGAGATGGACTGATAGAGGCAAGGGACCCGACTAAAACAGAGGGAGTTAAGATATCTGATGAGCATGATGAGAGTTTCATCTGACTGATTATTGAGGTTAAGTCATTTAGTGTAATTGGGGAGAAGGAGGTGAAAGACTCGGAGCACTGAGGGGCCTCCCCTCCTGAGGGGGGGAGGGCTGGTGGAATGCTGGATCTCAGATTCAGCACCTTGTTTGCAGAAAAGTGGAGAAAGGTGTTACAGTCATCAGCTGAAGAAAGCTGAGCCTGCTGCGGAGGAGAAGACACAATGCTGGAGATGGTATCAAACAAAACCTTAGGATTATTCTTATTTTGGCATATGAGGTTGCTGAAGAAAGAAGACCTGGCATTTTCCACAGCTTCGTTGTATGACTCGAGAAGTTCTTTCAAATATTCGCGATGAACAACCAGACCTGTCCTCTTCCACAGTCGTTCCGCTTTTCTATAGGAGCGTCTAAGTTAAAGAATCTGGTTGTTCAGCCAGGGTGAACTGGAAGCACTGGAACTGCGGCTGGTTTTGTAAGGGGCGACCTGATCTAGAATTTTGAGGCAGTGATCATTAAATGAGTTGGTAAGGAGCTCTACGTCATCAGAGGAGGGAGGTACAAAGTCAAAGAGGGAGGAGAAATTTAAAATGGTAGAACTGTTGATAATACGTCGTTGCTTAGCAGAGACTGGTAAAAGAGATTCAGAATTTAGGTTAATATGAAAAGAAACTGACTTATGGTCACTGAACACAACATCATTTATCTGCAGCATATCAACAAGAAGTCCGTAGGAAAAGACCAGATCCAGGGTGTGGCCTGCTCTGTGAGTGGGACCAGACACGTGTTGAGAGAAGTTAAAAGAGTTCATCATGTTTAGGAACTCCCTAGTGGAGCTGTTAGATAGATCCTCAGCATGGATGTTGAAATCTCCAACAATGATTATCCTGTCTAGTTTAATAGTTGAAGATAGGAGATCCTGAAAGTCAGACAGGAAGGATGAAGTAGATCCAGGTGGGCGATAGACCAGAATTCCATAAACTGGTTGAACTCGACCAATTTTAATCATGATCATCTAGAATGAACTGTAGGAGTTTGAGGATATAATTTGGCACGAAAAGTGTTTCTTAAAGATAACAGCTGTTCCTCCACCGCGGCCTGTGGTCTGTGGAGCAGAGAAGAAAGAGCAGTCTTGAGGACAGAGCTCACGGAGATGAGTGACGTCATTTTCGCGCTGCCACAACTCAGAAATCCACAAAAAGTTTAATTTTTTGGTCCGGAACAGATCGTTGAGGATGTGAGACTTGTTGGCGATTGAGCGCGCATTAATCAACATAATTTTTGCGGAGGAATCTGGCGATGTGTGTGCCGCGAGCTCATTAATGGCGGGCGGCTGGCGGGCTAAGCTACGTAGCGACTCCAGGCTACGCCCGCGGAGGTTCTTTGTCTCCCACGCCTTCAGGTAGTGTCCCGCATCAGGGGCTCCATTTAGCAGCGAGATCAACCCAACTCCGTTAAGTTTCTGTTGGATCCGCCACAACACAGCCGTGGAGCAGCGATCAGGTAGAGCTTCGCCTCTCAGGATCTTTCGAAGCTGAACGAAGAAGCCGGCTCTCTTCCCCCGTTTCCTCTTCCATGGCCTCATGGGCAGCGGCAGGCCGACAGGAAACAGAGGGCCGAGATCTGGGTTAACGCCAGGTTCCAGAGGCGGTGGGAAAGCGGGTCCGGTATCAGAGTTCTGGAGGTTGATCATCGCGGACCTGATCGACAACAGTAAGTCTCGATCATATGTTTAGCAGGGACTCCGTACCAGATAGAGAAAAAAATAAATAAAAAAAACAACAAGTAACTAAAACAGATCAGGAGCCTAGCAGACGTACAGCCACTCATGGGCGCCATCTTGCTGAAGTTAGAGATAAACTTTATTGTATTTATCCTAGTGAATCTATAATTAAACAGATAAACTAGTAGTAGCACATTCAATGTCAAAGAGAGTAAAAAGTTATTATCAGGAGAGGGAGAATGTTTAAGTGGTTAGCAGCAGTGTGCTAGACGATGGCCCCCTCCATGAGGCCACCACAGCTCAGCAGAACATCATTGTAGCTTCTTCTGAGGAGAAAAACACTTAGAGAAAAAATAAAGTTAACAGCTGAAATAGCAGGAAATAATACAGTTAAAGAGCAGATTGTAGAAGAAAGTAGTCGAGTGTGGAAAGTAATCAGTATGTCATCCAGTAGTCTTAGCCTATCGCAGCATAACTACAGAGATAATTCTGGATAACCTAGCCTTTTTAGATGGAGGCATGTTGGAGGCAGGGCAAGGGAGAGCCGTCTTTACAGACTGTACACTCCACCTCCCTCAACTCCCCCACTTGTCCAGATCGGGGCTAACATCAAATTTTAACCATAGGCCCTATCAAATAAAAACGTTTTAAGCCTATTCTTAAAAGTAGACAACGTGTCTGCCTTATGGACTAAAGCTGGGAGCTGGTTCCACAGGAGAGGAGCCTGATAACTAAAAGATCTGCCTCCCATCCAAATTTTAGATATTCTGGGAGCCGCCAGTAAACCTGCAGTCTGAGAGTGAAGTGCTCGGTTAGGAACGTATGGAACAATCAGATCACTGAAGTATGATGGAGCTTGATAATTAAGACCTTTATATGTGAGAAGGAGGATCTTAAAATCTATTCTGAATTTAACAGGTAGCCAATGTAGGGAAGCTAAGACAGGAGAGATATGATCTCTCTTTTTAATTCTCATCAGAACTCTAGCCGCAGCATTTTGGACAAGCTGAAGACTTTTAACTACATTCTGTGGACTTCCTGAGAGCAATGAATTACAGTAATCCAGTCTTGATGTAATAAATGCATGAACTAGTTTTTCAGCATCACTCCTGGAAAGGATGCTTCTAATCTTAGCAATATTCCGAAGGTGGAAAAAGAAAATCCTACAAACCTGTTTAACCTGGTATTTGAATGACATGTCCTGGTCAAAGATAACACCAAGGTTCCTTACATTGTTCTCAGAGACTAATTTATTGCCATTCAGGTCAGGTGATTGACTAAGCAATTTCCTTTTCTGAATTTCATGTCCAAAGATGAGAACTTCAGTTTTGTCTTAATTTAAAAGCAAAAAGTTTTGAGTAATCCAATTTCTGCACCTTCAGAGTAAAAATCATGGCTCTAAAGTTGATTTCCATCCATGTGTGATTTTTCCTGATGTAAAAAGTGAGTGTACACTTTCTTTTGGTAAGTTTGGTATTTACATGGTCACAGAGCACAATATTCTGACCCTTCACAAAACAGCAAAAATACACAAAAACACTGGCAGTTAGGGGCAGTCCGTTGAGAAAACGGCTACCACTGAATGGGTTGACAAGAGAGAATACATCACCCATCACTGATCTGGTAAACGTTGGTAAACGTTATGTCACGTGAGCAGGTTTCCAGGGGACAGATCATAAAATCATAGGTGAAGTCAGGGAAACCCTGCAGACCAACTCTGCCCTGGTGGAAGTCTGAACTATTGTGTCTTTTTTCTGGTCTCTAAACTGCTTGAGTTTTATCTGGTAAACTGAATTTATTGTTGCTTTTGTTTTCACACAAGAACAGGCTGACACCCTACACATCTTTAATAGTCTCTCTGTAATGTCAAATGTGTCAGATTCTTACTCCAATAACACTGATGTATTGTTGTATCAGAGTTTACTGGAAAGAGTGGTCCTCTGTGGTTTTTCCACGGTTCCAGCCTGTGTGTTTCTCTGCATTAATGGGACCATGTTATTTACTCTAAGAAGTAAACCAGTGTTTCGTGACACCTGCCGTTATATTCTTCTGTATAACCTCCTACTTGCAGACACTGCTCAGCTGGTAGTGAGTCAGCTTCTGTTTCTACTTGCTGTTTGTAGAGTAAGACTGACATATCCTGCATGTGGTACCATCGCTACAATTGCCAATCTCACAGGAGGAATCTCTCCTCTCACACTGGTAGTGATGTCACTGGAGAGATATGTAGCTGTGTGCTTCCCACTGAGGCATGCCTCCATCATCACTACCAGAAACACAGCAGTGGCTATTATCGCAAGCTGGGCTATTAGTTCCATTAACAATTTAACTCGGGGTCTTTTTTTATTGGAATATTCTTTTGAAAATATGAGTAACCTCCTGATGAAAGACTATTGTTATGACATTACTTGGTTTCCAAGTACTCAGCGAGATAACTATGATAAAGCCTACATTTGTTTTGTATTTGTTTCAGCTGGTTTGGCAGTAATTTATTCCTACACTGGAGTTGTAGTAGCAGCCAGATCAGCTTCTACAGACAAAGCATCAGCTCATAAGGCCCGTAAGACACTGCTACTACATCTGATACAGCTAGGTCTCAGTCTGTCCTCAATGATATATCACACTCTGCTCATAGCTCTTGCAAGAACTGTTTCACGATTAGTTTTTGTATGGGTCCAGGATGTTTTTTATGTGTTATTTATCATTTTACCCAGATGTCTGAGTTCACTACTTTATGGTCTGAGAGATCAGACCATCAGACCTGTGCTACTGCATTATCTGTGTTGTCACTTCAGATTCCCAGTTGAACCTGGCCTTGGCTGAAAAAAAAATTGCTTGTGCATTTTTGCTGGAGTATGAAAAAAATGTAAACATCAAAGCAGTATATGATGGCATTGCTTGAAATCAATTAAGCATTGTGTTAAAATATCAATCCTCTGATAACTAGGAATCTACAGAGGCGGTTTTACCATTGACTCCACATAAAAAGGCTGCAGCCAGATGTAGAACCAGCAATCATCAAGTTGAAAGGCAACATACTTTTAACCAAATAACAGTGCAGCTATAATGTTTATATGTCAAAAATGTGTATAATTTTCCACATTTAGAATTTGACATGATTGTCAGAGTTGTTATTAGAAAGTTTGTCAAAGACTTTGGTGAAAAAGCAAAAGGATTAAAGTATGAGAGCTGTACAATTAACTTTTATCAGACCACTTTAAAAGATGCACCATGTTAGTACTGTTTGATGCATTTTTGTCCTCAGAATTTCCTCAAAGGTCCTATATTGTCCAAAATCTGCTTTTTTGAGCCTTTGACCGTGTTATGTTGTTATTTCCTCATGAAAAACACTTCAAAGTGGATTTTGGCTTTGCACATGTTCCTGTCACAGCTTCTTCTTCCGTTCAACTTTGCTAAGCTTTTACAAGAGCATGGATGGGGTGTTGTTGTGTCATCATACCTCGCTCGTTAGGGCTGGACGTTATATAGAAAAAAAGCATATAGATAATTATTAAAAATATTTTAAAATATATGTAGAAAATATTTTTGCCCACCATATAGACTCACCAAACTCAACTCTAAACCTCCAACATCCTCAACGCTGATTGACCTCATTCTCACTAACAGTCCTTCTATCAGTCCGGAGTCTTCAGTCAAACAAGTGACCACTGCTCTACAGCATGTATTTGCTCTAACTGCTCAATTAAATGGCCACCAGTGATTGTGACCAAGCACTCTCTGAGGAACCTGGACATGCAGGCTTTTCTTATAGATGTTGTGTATATAAATTGGAGCAAAACATTGATAAACATGCCCCTCTGAAAAAATTTAGGACTTAGAATCGCTACAGTTCTTGGTTCTCCCATGAACTATTGGGACTTATCCACAAAAAGAACATCCTTTGGAAAACACTCGTTCCTCTCAGTGCCCTTCAGATTGTCTTGCCTTCAGACAATGCAGAAATCAAACCACACAGGCGATGCCACAATCTCCTACTATAAGGAGAAACTCTCTACCTGTGGCACTGATACAAGAAAGTTCAGGAAAACAGTTAAATCCATGGAAAACAAACTTCAATTCAATTCAAGTTTATTTATATAGCGCCAAATCAGGACATGAGTCATCTCAAGGAACTTCACATAGTAAACATTCAAATACAGGTCAGTTCATTAAGCCAATCAGAAAAAAGTTTCCTATATAAGGAACCCAGCAAATTACATCAAGTCACTGACTGGTGTCAGTGACTTTACAGCAATCCTCATACTAAGCAAGCATTTAGTGACAGTGGAGAGGAAAACTCCCTTTTAACGGGAGACTAGCAGAGGTGTGGACTGAAGTCACATGACTTGGACTCAAATCATTATTTAATGACTTCTGATAAAATCTATAAAGACTTACGACTTGACTAGCACTTGAACACCAATGACTTGCGACTTGAATCGACTTGCATCTGTTGACTTGATGATGACTTGAGCATAATTGATATTTTAGCACAAATGTGGCATGACATGGACAAAAATCATAAATCATTCTTCGTTCTGGGTTTGATTTACTGCTAAATGCAGCAGCACTTTGTTTATAATCTATTTCAGTTGCACTTTCTGCTTGTTTGAGCAAATAAATTAAGCTTTAAGAAGCTTTATTTCTGGAATTTATTTATTATCATTGTCATTAAATTGGAAGTTGGACAGATAACTTGAATAGGACTTGAAAATTCAAAGCTAAGGTCTTGGACTTGACTTGGACTTCCCCATCACTGACTTTGGACTCGACTTGGACCTGATTGTATTTGACTTGTACTTGACTCGAGACTTGACTGTAAAGACTTGTGACTTACTTGTGGCTTGCAAAGCAGTGACTTGGTCACACCTCTGGAGACTAGTATTAAGCTCCCTGATTGGCTACAAAAAATTCAAAAGGTAGGGATGTTCCGATCATGTATTTTTGCTCCCGATCCGATTAAAAGTAATTTAATTTTTAGTGTCTGCCAATACCGAGTCCCGATCCGATACTTTTCAGAAGAGCATTAAAATAATAAGAAAACGAGAAATAATTTTTAGCAAAGCATTAAAAGAAGAATAAGAGGGGTCAAGAAACCATTAAAATAAGAAGATAAGACATCCAAATTGCCCTTTAAATTTCACTGTCATTTATTTAGGAAGATCACAGGATCTTTCATGGACGTTAAAACAAAGAGTCGGAATAGGAGGGTTACCGGGGTCCCACCCTGGAGCCAGACCTGGGGTTGGGACCCGTGAGCGAGCGCCTGGTGTCCGGGCTTTCGCCCATGGGGCCGGGCTGGGCCCAGCCCGAACTGCATACTTGGGCTCATCCAACTGTGGACCCACCACCCGCAGGAGGAACATGAATGGTCCGGTGCAATGTGGATCGGGTGGCAGACCAAGGCAGGAGTCTTGGCAGTCTGATCCCCAGACAAGAAAACTGGTTTTTGGGACATGGAACGTCACCTCGCTGGCGGGGAAGGAGCAGGAGCTTGTGGCAGAGGTTGAGCAGTACCGGCTAGATATAGTCGGACTCACCTCGACACATAGCATTGGCTCTGGAACCCAAGTCCTTGAGAGGGGTTGGACACTCTCCTTTGCTGGAGTTGCTCCAGGTGAGAGGCGGAGGGCTGGGGTTGGCTTTTGTTAGTCCCAAGACTCTCTGCCTGTGTGTTGGAGTTTACCCCGGGGGACGAGAGGGTAGCTTCCCTGCGCCTTCGGGTCGGGGAACGGGTCCTGACTGTTGTTTGTGCTTATGGGCCAAATATCAGTTCAGAGTACCCACCCTTTCTGGAGTCCCTGGGACGAGTCCTAGATAGTGGTCCATCAGGGGACTCCATTGTCCTGCTGGGGGACTTCAATGCTCACGTGGGCAATGACAGCATGACCTGCAGGAGGATTGGGAGGAATGGCATGCCTGATCTGAACTCGAGTGGTGTTTCGTTATTGGACTTCTGTGCAAGCCGCAGTTTGGCCATAACGAACACCATGTTCGAACATAAGGATGCCCATTGGTACACTTGGTACCAGGGCAGCCTAGGTCGCAGGTCGATGATAGACTTTGTAGTTGGATCATCTGACCTGCGGCCGTATGTTTTGGACACCCGAGTGAAGAGAGGAGCGGAGATGTCAACTGATCACCACCTGGTGGTGAGTTGGATCAGATGGCAGGGGAAGATGCCGCGTAGACCTGGCAAGCCCAAATGCATAGTGAGGGTCTGCTGGGAACGCCTGGCAGAAGAACCTGTTAAGATGGTCTTCAACTCCCACCTCCGGCAGAGCTTTGACCACGTCCCGAGAGCAGTGGGGGACATTGACTCCGACTGGGCCTTGTTGTACTCTGCAATTGTTGAGGCGGCTGTTGCTAGCTGTGGTCGCAAGGTGACCGATGCCAGTTGTGGTAGCAACCCCTGTACCCGCTGGTGGACACCAGAGGTTCGGGGAGCCGTCAGGCTGAAGAAGGAGGCCTACAGGGCGTGGCTGGTCTGTGGGTCTCCGGAGGCAGCAGACAGGTACCGGATAGCCAAGCGGGGTGCAGCAGTGGCAGTTGCCAAGGCAAAATCTCGGGCGTGGGAGGAGTTTGGTGAGGCCATGGAGAAAGACTATCGATCGGCTCCAAAGAGGTTCTGGCAAACTGTCCGGCGCCTCAGGAGAGGAAGGCAGCAACTCGCTCACACTGTTTACAGTGGGGATGGGGAGCTGCTGACGTCAACTGTGGCTATAGTCGGATGGTGGAAGGAATACTTTGAGGAGCTCCTCAATCCCACCTATGTGCATTCTGAGGAGGAACCAGAGCCGGGATACCTGGGGATGGACTGTCCAATCTATGGGGCAGAAGTTGCTGAGGCAGTCAAACAACTACACAGCGGCGGAGCCCAGGGGGTGGATGAGGTTCGTCCTGGGTATCTCAAGGCTATGGATGTTGTAGGGCTGTCTTGGTTGACACGTCTCTGCAACATTGCGTGGTCATCGGGGGCAGTTCCTGTGGAGTGGCAGACCGGGGTGGTGGTGGTCCCCATCTTTAAGAAGGGTGACCTGAGAGTGTATTCCAACTATAGGGGGATTACACTCCTCAGCCTCCCTGGAAAGGTCTACTCCAAGGTATTGGAGAGGAGGGTCCGATCGATAGCTGAATCTCAGATCGAGGAGGAGCAATGGGGTTTTCGTCCTGGCCGTGGAACTGTGGACCAGCTCCATACCCTTGCATGGGTGATTGAGGGGGCATGGGAGTTTGCCCAACCAATCCACATGTTTTTTGTGGATTTGGAGAAGGCTTACGACCGTGTCCCCAGGGGCACCCTGTGAGGGACGCTCCAGGAGTATGGGGTGAGTGGCTTTCTGTTGAGGGCCATTCAGTCCCTTTACCAGAGGAGCGTGAGTTTGGTCCGCATAGCCGGTAGTAAGTCTGACCTGTTCCCAGTGAGGGTTGGACTCCACCAGGGCTGCCCTTTGTAACCGGTTCTGTTCTTTACCTTTATGGACAGAATTTCTAGGTGCAGCCGTGGTGTGGAGTGTGTCGAGTTTGGTGGCAGGAGAATGTCGTCTCTGCTTTTTGCGGATGATGTGGTCCTCCTAGCTTCATCCAGCCCTGACCTTCAGCTCTTGCTGGGTAGATTCGTGGCTGAGTGTGAAGCGGCTGGGATGAGGATCAGCACCTCCAAATCTGAGACCATGCTTCTCGACCGGAAAAGGGTGGCTTGCCAACTCCGGGTCAGGGGAGAGGTCCTACCTCAAGTGGAGGAGTTTAAGTATCTTGGGGTCTTGTTCACGAGTGAGGGTAGGAGGGATCGGGAGATCGACAGGCAGATTGGTTCGGTGTCTGCAGTGATGCGGACGCTGAGCCGATCTGTCGTGGTGAAGAGGGAGCTGAGCCAGAAAGCCAGGCTCTCGATTTACCGGTCGATCTACGTCCCAATCCTCACCTATGATCATGA